ACCTACTCGGCCGGCCGCTACGGGAGCCACCTGGGTTGCGAGCCCTCGCAGTCGGATGAGGCGACCGTCATCACGGTGCGCAGCATGCACAACCTGGAGTCCAAGGAGGAGCTGGGCATCATCAAGCGCAAGGAGGAGCCTCTGCACTTCGTCGACGCGCTCCGGTGGGGGGATCACCTCTTCTTCCCCTACTACAGCTTGAAGGCCAGGTTGAGCAACAACACGGAGCCACCCAGCATGGCTGTCCTGCGCCAGCTGCGCCCCTCGGAGGGCGGCCTGACTTTGCAAGGGCACGTGTATTTGGACTGCGGCTGCAGGAGCCTCATCGTGTCCTCCAGCCTCGTCCGCCGGGGCCAGCAGGGCTGGTGGGTGGGTGTGTTCAACCACGGCCACGGCGCCAAGGCCTGGAATGCCACCGCCGTCTGCATCTTCGGGATGGAGGAGGTGAAGGAGCAAGCCTGCGCGTCCACGCACTTCGTCATGAACGGGAGGAGCTGTGTAAGTCTGGGCATCGTTTTGCTAAGCTTTCCTCCTGCACGCCGCTGTTGTCGCTGTTGTTTTTGTGGCTGGTGTCGCTGTGCGTGGCCGATGGGGTGTCCCTGACCTGAAGGCACCTGAAGTTCACAGGGAACTTCAGAGCCTGCCAGGCTTTGCGCATCAGCCTGGGCTCCGTCAGACCTAATGATTACTCCAGCACTTTCTGTTTCTAAAAAGCTGATCAGTTACCAGCTCCTGGAGCGTCCTTCCCGCCTACAGCTCTGGGAAAGACATGTCTGAGGGAACACCTGGGGGCATCCTGGGTGAGGCCTGAGCCTCGGGCTCCTCACTCAATGCGCCCTTCTCTGTCAAGGATTAGTCGTGCTTCATTGTATTTTCCGTACAGCCTAGATAAAGCATCTCCTACCTTATTCTGTGCATTCACATCTCTTGTCGTTGCAGCTACATCGGAAATGGTAAAAAGCCCATCGGACTGACTGCTGTGCGCTGGGCTCTGTGTGTTGCTATCACCGTTGCTCACTAGTCATTTATGGGTGCTTGTTCGCTGGTAGGTGTTTCCCAAACCTCCCAGGACTGGCCTTGCTCGAGAGGGCTCACAGCCACCCCCCGAACCCGTAGGCGCAGCACACAGCAGTAGGCGATACAGCTCTGTTGCTGCGGTGGTTACATTTTCCCAAGCAGTGGTATCCCATGGAGATCCCCTCGTCACCTGCTTCTCTAACAGTCTCACTTCAGCTCCTTCCTCCTTTTGAGGGCGAGCTGTGCACACGGAGGGCAGTGTGGGCAAGGCTATCGGCTTTGCTGTGGTAGCTAGTAAAGTAAGAAACTAAAGACTAAATTCAAGAAGCTAAAAATGTAATTCAGGAGAAGAAGGTGCTTTTGCAAGGTTCGTCCATGCTTTTAAGTCATACTCAGAAGTCTTTTCAGAGCTGTGGTGAAAGGAACAACGCTGAAGAGTATTGGGGACAACCGCAGGGGATCAAGCAAGCCATCATAAAGCATGCCCTGGCCTTTTGCAGCTCCCCCACCATCCAGGGACTCTGCAGCTTAACCCCTGAATTCTTGCTGCGTTTCGATGGGAGTTTGTTGGAAACTTCTTGAAAGGAGTGTGGTAGATTTACTGTCGCTCCTTGGCTTCCCAAATCTAGCCCGTAGCAGAGCGCAGTGCTGAGATTCTTCCAAACATAAACAACCGAAGGGCACGTGTGATTCAGTCTGCTCATCTCCCTGCTGAGCTGTGAGACTATTGCCAGTGTTAGAGGACGGAGTTGTGAATGAGAGCCCCGTATGTGGGTGAAACAACTGTGCTGAAGTAAATAGTGAAACTCTCGCAAGAGAGCCGGAGCCAATCCTTTGATTTCCAGTGCCAATTTATAGCTTACTGCATGATTTCTGTGCTCTTACAAGACAAACTTGCTGAATGAATTTGAAGTCTCATCCTCATCCCAAAATACCCGTTTCCTAGTTAGATTTTTAGTTTGCATTCCTTCCTCCTAATTACTCATGGGGTTTCTTCACGAGGTGCTTTCTGAGCCTGCAAAGCAAAAAAAAATAAAAAAATAAACCCCCCCTGGGTTTCTTTCCAAAGCATCCTTTGGAATCCTTTCCAAGCACTTTCCAAAGCCCCACGCTAGAAATTCCAGAAGAGTCGCATGGATTTTATAGAGTAAGATAATGCACGTAAGGTGAGGCAAATGTTTCTGTGACTGGTGTTCCTCTCGGCCCCCTGTCTCCGTTGCCTCCCAGTGCTTGAATATGAAAAATCAGTGATCCACTGTTTAAGAATCGATCTGATTCAGATCAGACTCCTGTGACTCCAGAGCTACTTTCCTGTCCCAGAAGACTCATTCCTCCTGGAAATGTAGACTATATTTGGCTACAGTGCAGAAGAATCCCAACTTTAAAAATTATTAAAAGGATTGTTTGCATAACATTATCTCTATAGCTATGGTGATGTTATTAATCATGGTATTTTGGCACAACAATAAATAAATAAAGTTTGCCACTGACAGGAAAGTGGTATTTTAATATTTTGTGAGATAGCAGGACATCTGAGTGTTGTGTAGTAATATGACCTATAACATTACATGGCTAATTATGCTCTCTTTTTAAGCTAATTATATGTGCTTATGGTGTATAAACATAGAAATAAATGCCTGTAGTTCAGCTTTAATATGTTTTTTATACTACAGAAGGTTAGGCTAGGCTATTGCGGAATAAGCTTGGAGATGACAGGCCCATATGCTGCTGCTTCTGGGTTGTTTTAGTCCAGATCCCTCTACCGTCTCTCACCAAATCATGGGAGTCCCTGCAAATGTGGAACACGCTCTTCTTGGACTCGGAGGTGCGTGGGCTTCAGAATTGGCAGGAAGATGGTGTGCAGCTTGTAGGAGAGGTGTGTGCAATACCTAGTGGTGGCTCTGGCCGGGGGGGAGTGCGTTGTAGCACGGAGCCGTCACCAGCACGTTGTAGTACAATGTGTAGGAATGGCAGCAAGCGACAGTACTTAACGTGTGCTTTGAAGCCCAGTCTTTTAAAGACTGCTGGTACTGAGCAAATGAGTGTGTTGCAGCGTGGTGGTTGCCTGGAGTGCAAGACCTGTATGGTGTTTGTGGCGGGTGGAGAATGCTGAATGTCAGCGTGGCTTTTGCATTGCGGATGCCTGGTGTTGTAGGGTGCTGCAGGTCTTTGCTGGGTGCAGCTGAATTCTGGAGCTCAGGTGTGAGGTGAGGTACGCTAATCATGAGCATGGGCACGGACTGTCAGTTTATGTAGGGATTGAAAATACATTTTTTTGCCCTGCAGGAATACAATTTTTGGTTGGAATATATGTTAGGGAGTAGCGGCAGTATGTTTTCCTTATGATCTTGTCATTCTTCAGATTTCTGTAATTATTCTGATTACATCTAGGCAAGACATCCTCTTACCTGTCTGCACTCACACAGCTTCTTGTATTTGCACTGTGTTGGCACTATGCTTCTCAGTTGTACACTGCAACAGGGACTTAGCCTGAGGTGTTGGTGGTCCTCAATTCCCTGCTATGCTACTGCTGCGTGTTCTGCTCTGAACTTGTTCCTGTAAGGTATTGAGCTTTCTGGCCCTAACCCAGTAAAGCACTTAAGGGCATATTTAACATTAAGCGTATAAGGAGTTTCATCATCTTCAGGGGAACTGCCCATGCATTTAAAGTTAAGCATGAACTTGAGTACTTTGCTGGATTGGAGCCAAATTATTCCGCATCCTGTAGGAACTCATTGTAGGTGTGTGATCTCTTTAGCCTCGCATTGCTACTTAGGCCAAAGTTGACATTTGTATTAAGTTTAATGCTGGATTTGGGTCTGTCATTGAAAATTAGTGAATTTTAAGATCCTTGCTTAGCAACATTACCAAAAAGTAGGTGACTGCTACATACTCTGTGGAGTTGCTGCTTATGAGAACTAGCTAATTCTGGTTTTGTTTTGTGCAGTAGTGTGCGCAAAGCATTTTGTCCTGTTTGGCTGTGTTTATTCCGAAGAGGTATAATACTGGCTTTCCAGAGACATGATCCCTAACTAGCGAGAGGCAAGTAGTGTCTTAGATGAAACTACTCTGAAAACATTTTCAGTTTTATACTCAGCTAGTTCTCCTCTGATCCACACGTCTCTTAGTTTTGATTATATCTACTTAAACACACTGTCAAGGTGTATGCGTTAATGGACTCACTAGCATAACCTGCATGTACGTAAGCACATCTTCTTCACAATTTCCTTCGTTAATAAATGTGAAATTGCCAAATCTCATTCTTCATTTCTTTTCAGAAACCTGGCTGAGCACTAACAAACATTTTTGGTGCATCACAATTATGAAATCAAAGCTACTTAGCCAGTACACAGGAGGAATCCTGGAATTTGTCACGAACTTGTTCTAGTAGCTAGTGAGGTTTAAGAAGACCTTTCTTTCTGTTGTTCCACAGCTGAATAGGAGCCTCTGTTCTCAAATTTCTCCCTGAGATCCCAGGATCTTGTGGCTCACAGCCAAGCAGATGAGTAGAAGTGCTCAAATTAGAGAACAAGAATGGAGAGAGTTGTAGAATGTTACCTAATCACAATGACAAATCTGGAAATTAGTTTTGCCATGTCATTAAAAAAAGTTGCATGGGAACAAAAGGATTCTACCATTTTTCAGGGATAATCCAAAAAAAAATGTTAGGCATATATGTGTAAGACAGAGAGGTTGCTGTAGTTTGTATTAAGGTGTTTGTTTTATGATGTGCAAAGGCTAAGTAGCTGTGATAACTACTGGATGATAAGCTATCTTGGTTGGATTTTCATCTGCTATTTAATGCAAGTGAAGATATATAACAGGCTGTTCTTTGAATTTTTGCATTTTTCAGTGGATGATAAATATATGGGTTGGTATACGCCCCTTAAGTTATCGAGCATATTTGGAATCCTAGGACAACTCTTAGCTGACATAAGCTCTACTGAAGTGAGATTTTGAAGTCAACAGAGTCAGTTTAATCATGGCCATTAATTTGCAGGAATAACATTTCAATTTGTGTGGTAATTCATTCCAAAATGATTCATGATCTTTTATTTAAGGAAAGAATTACAGACTGCTAAATATCATGTGGTATCAAAATTGGTCCTGTGATTAATTTTCTAGTAGTAAAGTCATCTCCTGGGTGTTGCCAGACTTCTAGTATTTCATCTGATGTTTGACAGATTTCTAGAGTTAACATTTCTGGAGTGAATATTTCTGTCCAGTTACAATGAGTTTTCAGTTCATCCCTGTTTGGCGTGTGAAGTAAGCCACAGGAGTCTTGTAAACTCTCACACTGTCAGTAAGAAGAAGAGTCACTTTTCGTCATCTGGCTTCACCAGATGTTCTGAGTGGAAACTTGAGAGTGAGCCGGGGGGCTCTTGAAGAGACGATTTGCTTTCTTGGGATCACAGAGTTGTTCAGGTTGGAAGGAACCTCAGAGGAGGTCTCCACTCCAGTCCCCTGCTTACAGCAGGGTC